ATAGATTACCTATTAAGCAACAACAATAAAATCCAGAAAATTCGACAGCAACGTCAAAAAAAAATGTCAAAGATGGAATTAACTGGAACTGATTTCTACTTATCATAAAGTACTACTGATCATAAGAAAACAAAAAATCATAATCACGGGACATGTACGAACTTTTGCAGTATGAAATTTGGTGAAAACTAAGCAGATGTTATCAAAATCAAGAAGAAGCCGAGGAATTAACAGTTCCATGAAATGCCGGAACAAAACTATGACCCCTTTTTCAATCGAAAAAAAAAAAATGTCTGTTGCAAGCATTGCACTGAGCGACTAATCCCAGAAATGCTATTAAATTAGGTACAAAAATGGGATGCCTCGTCTCATAACTACAAATCCAAAACAGACTTCCTTCGTATTGCAGATGCGAAGAAAATGGGTCTTCGAACTAATTTTGGGTCAAAAAATTTCCAGTGAACCAAATCCCTGACAAAACGAGATTAGGTGATGGATGTAACTACTGTTTTAACGTATTTCTCTTTTTGGAACTTTCTTTTTTTGGAAATCCCCACTACATTTAATACCCCTTAGCTTTTTTTTTTCCGGGAATTCTCACCAACTGCATTAAGTGCGCCAATTTTTTTAACAAATTGATACTCGTTATATTCAGTGCTTCTATAATACTATTTGTCTGTACAGGGTTTGATCAACTAACTATACTTCTTTCCCCTTTTTTTAAACAACATTTTACAGAAGCCTGAGCTATAGAACTGCTAACTAGCTTGAGCTACAGAACTCATGCCCAAAACTAGTAGAGAAAAATTTTGCAACCAGCAAAAAAATGCAAAAGAAAAGAAAACATAACATAATGTCTCAGTTTTTCTCTGTCCACTCTAATTGTGGTGACTACAAAATACATGCATGTGCAAAGCAAAAACCGGAAACAGGTCAGGAATTCGAAAAAAAAAAACTCCCTCAAAACGTGGGCAAATAATCAAAACAATGCGAAAACGCACGAGAAACTAGAATTAAAACAGCGCTAACATCTGAACAAACAGCATCCAATAACAAAGTCATTGAGACGAACTGCAATTCTGCTTTCGCGGTATTGATGTAACGGCAAGCCAAAAGAAATGAACGTAAGCTCTGTCAAGAACATCAGACAAACGTCAAAAATTACTTGTTTCCCTTCGTAAACTGATAATTATTTTATTACGAGTTCAACGGTGGATCTCAAAAGACGTCCGAGGCGTTTTTTGTTTTCTACCTTTCTATAAAAGTTTGAGGACATAATTTCCTACGAGATAACTACGAAAATTCAAGCCTCGATCGGCCGAGTCGAAGTAAGAGTTGCACTCCCCTCGCACTATAGGAGGAATTAAGTTGCGAATTCGACTTCAGTTTGAATGGGAAGGCGGACAAAAAACCAGGGATGCGGTTTAGGTAATAGTGGTCGCGACAGAGGGGAGGGGAAGGTGGAAAGCTAAAAACCTGCTTGGAAGAGGGAAACTGAAAGAGCACCGAGGACTGCAGAAGAGGGAGTAGAGCTGGACTGGCTGTGTGGCAAAGATGGTGGACTAAAAATAGTAAATTGAATGGTACCCAGCAGCACCGAATGAGCACTAGAAATGCCGTCAGCAAGATAAAATTATAAAATAGATGCGAATGAGAAAAGCTCAGAGGAGGAATGAAGAAGCTGCTACCTGCACCAACTGCGAGAAAGAATGAAAAGACGAAAAAAAAAAAAAAAACGTCTGATAAAAACAATGACTGGAGAAAGAGAATAGCCCTGAGCTTCAGAAATCCCATACTTAAAAGTTTTAAGTGGTGGACGACAAGCATATTATTTACCGGACGTTAACGATACTAAGGATGCCCTTAAAACAGCCGTTAATTAACAATCCAGTTCCCCACCTAAGCAGTTGACAGCTTTTGCAAGTGCCTTGGACAACAAGTTTTGTAGTAATGGTGTATAAAACGGTAAAAATTAATTGACGGAACAAGACATAAGAATTATCATCATAGAGCAGTGATTCGCTTACTGCATTGTCATTTTACGTAGCGATGCTCCGGTCGCTAATTCCTGTACAATACTGTAGTAGCCCACACAAATTAGGTTTATTCCACTTCCGAATTCTACAGGAGAACAACGTTTCGAAAATGTCGAGAGGATGGTGCAAAGGCAAGGCACCATCCTTGATTAGCAGCTTTCAAGTGAGAGCGGAGCGGCATAGGCGGATCCAGGGTGATATACTCGGAGGTGGG